AACTATGGGATGCACTGGGGGTGCTAAAGAAGAAATTCATACATAGTAGGTCTTTTAGAATGGGAGTGAGATTAAATATCATTTCTTTAAACATGAGAAGCTACTAAATATATAATAACACATTCGGATGTTTTGAAGTATTATTTTAAATTTTAAGCGAACTTATGAGTGAAAGAATGTTTTCGGTACTGCTGTCAACGTGGTGCTTTTCCCTGGACTAACGTCGATAATTGCTTCAAAAKTCAAGATGGTACCCGTATTAGTCAACATATGGTGCCCTTATTTGGTCACATGCATGAACACGTATATCTGGTAGATGTCATCMTTCTTAGCATTCTTCGTTTTATAAGGTACATAATCCTAGAAGARCCCTCATCTTTAACATCTCATCACTGACCAATGCAGACTGAAACAACCACTATCCAAGTACACGAATTCATGAGCCTTTAATGCGGGATGCAAAATGCGCTTTGTACCGTGATTCGCGCATGATCATAAAYAGATAGATATCCTTTAATTATCTATCCATGGATAAAAATTTATCAGACATGTACAAAATCAACGAAATAACTATTATATCATGTTATATATAATATATTATAGGTATGAAAAAATAAATATCAAAATAAAAAGCTGCTTTCCATGAATGCCGTGCCTTACCATGGAAATAGTTCAAACTGCCCTAAGGACTCTGCCTACCTTATTTCACTTGGAAGGTTGTTCCATGCAACAGCGTCACTATAATAACAATAACTATTGTCTTTTTAATCTCAAAAGTAATTATTCTTTCGGCCATATCTCCAAGAATCCTAACGCGGGTTTGAGAGTTTTGAATTAGTATGAGCGAATTAAGGAGACTGAGGTTTTTGAAGCCCTTCAACCCTGTCTAGACCGGCCTTTTTTTTTCTTTTTCTAGCTTGTTTTGCACCGAAGTAAGTTACTTTATAAATGCTCAGTATTTTATTTAACCTTCAAAAAGATTTTTCCCTTTCCCTCCCCTTGAGCCTCTACGTAGGCTAGGAATCTATGGAAGATTTCGCCTGGATTCAGAATTCGGTTTATCACTTCAGTAATTCGTTTAGAATTATTGAAYATTTGAAATCACTAATTTGGAATCGGATTCGTCTTGTATTACCGGATTCCGTTTCTATTGCTACGSATTCCAAGTAWCTGGATTCCGAATTGCAATGCCAAATGTTTGTAGGATTCCGGATTGCGTGTTTTTGGGGCGATAGCCACCTGTGAGAGGAGAGACGGGGAGYGCAAAGGATCCAGGGTGATATTAAACCGTTATTTCATACTTGATTCAGTTTTCTTTGTTATTCATAGTGTTGTATCTCGCTTATTCCCCAGCTCGTTGTGTATTCAAGTGCTTTATATCAAAGTTTCAGGGATATATCTAGATATCGCCCCCATTTGAGGGCAATATCTATATATTGCCCTTGAATACTAATGTATATTGCCCTTGAATACCTAATTAACTACTACGTTCAACTTAGAAAATTTCCGTCTGAAACTTTAAACTTGAAAGAAAGAAAGAAAAATTCAAATGACACCAAGTAGATTCGAACCCACAACTTTAGCTTTGAAAATCCTATACTTAACACGTTTTGCTAACTGACTAATCGATGTCAGTTGTGGAATAAAAAAGTTATTTAACATTGTTCAGTTGCTTGTTACAAAAGGTTGCTCTCATGGGACTAACGAGAAAAATGGTTATGCAAATTATTACCGCTGGGAATTGTCAATACAATAAATTTCGTAACCCTTCTCTTAGAGGTTTTGGTTTTTAATTCATATGAAAACGGCTTCTTTGCCTATTTAAAAATGAAAGTATTAATGCAGTGCTTGGAAAACTTCTTCAAGTATGAAATAAACGTCGGCAATAAGCCTATAAAGCCCTCGGGGCCTACGGCCCCTCGTGCTTTATATGGCTTATTGCCTCCGTTCTCGGTATTTATCTCTTACTTAAATATAGGGTTTTACTTACTGCTTGAAAAAATACATTGGCAGCCACATRTACATCCATGTACATACAATATCGAACAAACTTGACAGAAAAGTTAGTCCAGGCCAGCTCTGAGACCATCCTAAAATAGTTCGAGGTTAGGCTGATTTGATTGAATAAATTGAATCTTTTTGTTTTATATACACTTTTTCACTAAATTTGTTCGATTGAATTTCATTGAGACGCTTGAACAAAAGAGACGCTACGCTATAACGAAGAGGCAACACAGCAAGTAAACTGGTTCTGACCACTGGTCCTGAAAGGTGTGATTTTTTTGAAAGGCCAAAAACAATCTAAACAGTAGTTTGACGTCATTATGACGTAATAAATTCTCTTTATGACGTCATCTCTTGTATTTCATTGTAAAATACATAGGCAGCCCATCTTTTTTTGTACGTTATTGTATTTTATTAATTAATAAATATATTGATGAATAAATGCGAAAAAGCGAAAACACAGCAAGAAAACCGCAAGCGCACCCTTTATTTACCTGATTGCTTGATTTACTTTGGATTTGTGGATTACCTGTGGTGCTACGTCACGATCCCGTGTCTCGCAGGTACATACTAGTCTGTGACAAGGTATGAAACACCGGTCACGTGATAATCCAACGATAACAGAAAACGACAATTTTATTTACAATAATGATATGAAGCCTGATTTTCTATCTACTTCACGAGTTTGAGTCTTTAATTTTTATTGTACTCAACGAGAAAGTATAGTCAAGTATCTCMCTCGCGATGGACCTATGTGTCAACCAGGTAGATGGGAAYATCTTCRTGAAATTGCTCGGAAGGCTTCGAGAGATGTCGCAAAGTACGAAACTGAAACGAAATAAGTACTTTTGTAGCAGTCGACGAAGATTCGGCTTTGGTGACATCAATATCTTACGGATTACTTGAGCTTGTGCTGTCGCCATTTTACGTAAAACACGCCGGTAAAAAAAGAGCTTGATCGTGAATTTTCTAAAAATGAGCGAAATTAACTCAAATTTCGAGCAAAAAAAGCCGAAGACCTTGTTACGTCTGGCCATAATGTTTTTTTAGGCGGTACAGGTAAAACGTACACGTGCATCAAATTATAAGCTTAACTTCAGATTAAAAATGCATGAGGAAAGGTCTACTTACAAGCTTTATAACTTATTATTTATAATTTATTTTTGCCATGTCGCAAAATCAATCCCTCGAAGTAGACTCGGGCTTTCAATTGTGTTTTAATAATAATGACACAGCTGGAAWATTTAGCTTTGCAATGTCTTAAATTTTTATATAAACACTTCCGCTCTGAAAAACGCAAAGCTTTTATTTGCGTGTGGAAGGTGCTGACGAAAAAATATTCATACGTCATCGTATTTCGCATTATCTTCGACGACTGTTCGACTTCTTTTTGAATATTCGTTTCCCGAAGACTGTACCATTTACCTGGTGCACACATCGATCCATTCCATGATCGGTGTTTCATACCTTGTTATAGGCTAGTGTGTAGACCCGYGAGGCAARGGATCGCGACGCACCACCACAGGTAATCCGCATTTTGCTTATAGCRAGCACCGATAACTTAAAAGAACTAAAGCTTGTGCATCGTTCTTTCGTTTCACTCGAGCAATAGTTGGACGGCCTAATGTAAAATACGGTATCTTTTTCTCGTTTAGGCATCAAACGTTATAACATAAAGCTGAACAAGATAAATGTTACTAATAGCGGGGCTCCCGTGCGGTCCGACACAGGGTTCAAACATCGATTATTGAAACAATGTTAATTATTGTTAAGTTATGTAAATTATTTTTTTGCCGAGAAGCTTTCAGTTTACTTTAAATCAATTGACCTTTACAGATTATAATATTAAACTTCATCCAACGAAACACAATCTACCGAAGTCAACATTAGTACGAACTAAATTCTCATAAACATACTCTTTCTTAAGTTAAAATTAATAAATATGTTCATAGAATCTCATATCACATAATTAAATCGCGCGCTGATTGGTCCGAGATGACGAAAATGTGACGTACATAGTGAAGGATTCAGCGCGGAATCCAACGCTTCAAAGCTGAATTCAATGAAAAATCAAGGATCCCGCCCGATTGAATTTTGATTT